CCACACCACAGTCGACAACAGATACATTCATTACAACTATCTATATTTATAAACATTTCCTCTTGACTAAAGACGACTGCGATGACTAGTTAGTCATATCGAGTGGCTTCAGATTCACTTGTGGATGTGTAAAAACCATCCATGAAAATTGACATTACATTTTGCTTGTAATTCAGAACAATCCTGAAGAAACATGCAGGCACTGATGTAACAACAGCGATTGTAGCTGACCACGCCCCCTTCGCTTAATTGAGCGGTCCAAGGGAGACAACACTAAATGAAGTCATTCTCTAGAAATGCTATGCAGCTGTCGTGTTGTCTATGGACGAGGGTCAAACGCATGCTATAAGACGACCGATATTACACTGGCGACGAGTGTAAAACGGTACATAGGAACACTTATAGACTGAGTGTGCTTCATCAAGTGTGTTCAGAATTAGGAATAAAGGACGGGGAAGAGGATTCCAAACACAAGGAGAAACTTTCAAGGGACAGCAGTGTAGGTACTGTGGGTTGACAGATGTACACAAACCTGAATGAATTGCCCAGCATTTAGGGAAACATGCAAGATATGTGGTAAGAAAAAATATTACCAGAGGATGTGCAGAGCGAGCAAGACAAATTTCAAGCCAAGGCAAAGTAAGAAGCATACGACTGTAAAGAAAATAGAAGCTACAGGTTCACAAACAGATTCGTCAGATGAAGAATGTTTCAAATCTCTCTTATCCATCAAGGTAATCAAGAAGGTAGGAAGCCCAAACAGAACAGTACCACTTGCTGTTAATGACGTAACTGTATACATGGAACATGACTGTGGGGCAGATGTAAACATAATGGACGAATTCCAGTTTGACTCACTGGCTAAGGCTGAGCAGGTCTAAGGCCAATTGACAGTTACAGGAGAGTTCAGGGCTACAATAAAAAATCCAACTTGTGGCATTAAGACAAAATTTATTGTTGTAAAAGGGCATATTATGTCACCCCCGTTGATTGGACGGAAATCTCTCGAGGAACTTGGAATGCTGCAAATTAGAGTAGATGGATCATTTAAAGCACAGGCCTATCTTAGAAACAAACCAGAGCAATCTGTGAAAGACAATAGCAACACTGAAAACATGATTGAGGAATTCAAATATTTGTTCGACGGAATTGGAAAGATTTGCGATCTCAAGAACAATAAGGAGTTTCCATGTTCATTACCTATTAAACCTGATGCAATACCAGGGGCACAGAAGCCAAGACAAATACCATACTATCTCCAGAAACCACTGAAAGAGTTGATCGAGCAGGGTGTTGAGAATGATATCTATTAACGTATCCCCACAGACGAACCAATAACTTGGTGCTCACCATTGGTTGTACAATATAAACCAAAGTTCAAGGGCATAGCTCAAGATAGATTGACACCGAACAAGAGCAGAGCCAGTGTTGATATGAGATTCGCAAACAAAAGTATGGACAGAAGCAGGATCATACAATCACCAGTTGTTGAAGATTTCATCTACAAGTTCAACGATCGTGTCATATTTTCAAAGCTGGATATGCGTCAAGGATACCAACAATTAGCACTTGACCAAGCCTCAAGAGAAGTCACAACATTCAGCACCCCCTGGGGAAACTACAGATCAAAACGGCTGATATTTGGAGCCAAGGCTTCTCAAGATCCTATTTAACGAAACAGTGTATTGAATTTTCCCAGATGCTTAAATCAACGAGATGATATTTTGATTGGTGGTAGAAACAAAGAAGAACATGACAAAAACACTGAGAACTGTTTTGCAAAGAGCAAGCGATTTTGACATCACGCTAAACAAAGAAAAATGTTTCTTTGGGGTCAAGTCAATTGAATTCTATTTTCATATCTTCACTGACGGAAGACTGAAACCAGCTGAAGAAAAAGTGAAAGCTGTGAAAAACTGTAAAGGACCAAAATCAAAGCACGAAGTGAGAAGCTTTCTAGAAATGGCAGAATACGTATCCCAATTCATCCCAAAATATGCAATTCTTACAGCTCCACTTCGGGAACTCGTTCACAAGAACACTAAGTTTCATTTGGGCAAAGCAGAGAAGAAGGCTTTCCAGAACCTCAAGGATTATCTAACAAATGATACAACTGTCACATACTTCGACCCAAGAAAACCGAAGTGGTACGTGTTGAAGCAAGCTACCATGAATGACTAGCAGCTGGACTGTTAAAAAAAAAACTGACAGAGGTATGCAACCAGTTCACTACATCAGTAGGTCAACGTCTGACACAGAAACACGTTAAAGTCAAACAGGAAAGGATGCTCTTGCCATCAGATGGGCAAAACAACGCTTCAGAATGTATTTACATTGAGTGCCCAGATTCGAGATAATCACAGCACACAAACCTTTAATCACCATGTTTATCAAAGCAAGCATCAAACTGCCACCTAGAATAGAAAAACGGGTTATGGATATGCAAGATATAGACTATGAGGTTGTCTACGAGACAGGACGAGATGCCCCAGACCCATTAGACTTCCTTTCACGCCATCCCTTACCGGTGACAGGTAACGACAACACAGGGAAACTTGTTAAAGGCATCATAGATACAGAGCAACCTGTAGTGTTAGGAAGAATCAAGCAAAGAACCGAGAAAGATGAACAATTACAGAAAATCAAGGTGAGAATAATGAAGGAAGATTGGGAAGAACACAGAAAAGACCCAGATGTCGAATTGTTTTACAGAATTCAGAAAGAACTAAGTGTAATCAATGGACTTATTTTCAGGTTGCACGGGATTGTAATCCCAAGACAGTTACAGCGAACGGTAATCAAGGCCAGGACACGCCCTAGGCCACGTGGGAATGTCCAAGACTATAAGAATTCTAAGAGAAAAAAATACTGGTTCCACAGCATGGACAGGATGATAGAAGCGGCCGTAACAGATTGCTATGACTGCCAAAGGACAACAAAGAGTCACACCAGAGAACCTGTGAAAAGCACAACCATATCTGACAAGCCATGGGAGGTGGTATCCATGGACTTCAGCGGACCATACCCGGATGGTCACTACGATCTTGTACTGATCGATAAGAGAACCAGGTATCCAGATGTCGAACAGATTTCGTCAACAGCAGCGGAACCAACGATTAAAGCGCTCAAGAAAATATTTGTGACACAAGGTATTCCGCGACAAATAGAAAGTGATAATAGACTCCATCCAAATCACAGCAATTAGCAGACTTTGCTACCAAGGAGGGATTCAAACATCACAGAATCACACCTCTTCACCCAAAAGCAAATGGACAAGTTGAGAACTTTATGAAATTACTTGACAAGACTGAGCAGATTGCCCACATGCAGGGTAGAAACAGCCAATCAGCAGTTCAGGAACTTCTCATGGGTTACAGATCAACTGCACTACAGTACTACAGTATAGAACAGCAAGAAATTAATCGAAGTGACAGATGTTTTAAAGAAAAAAAATATGGTTGGAGACTATGAACTTGTCAAGCAGAACAAATGAAACAAGTTAACTCCAGCTTATGAGCTATCGTTCTTCACCATATTCCAATAAAGGGATCAGCAATCTCAGCGAGGAGGATAAATGATGGGAGAACGATACTAAGAGACGCAAGCCACTACAAACTGGTAAACAATCTAATCCAAAATGTATGCCAGGAATACGAAGACAAAAGGCCTACTCCGTTGGATTGGAGAGAAGCTATTTAGAAATGTTGTACAATGCTAAGCCAGAAGAAACATTACTTAATATTATTCAGCCTTCATCACCAAACATCATCCCACACAGCGACAACATTGAATCGTCAGATTCAACAGTGCAACTGTTGACAGACAACCGTGCAGACAACTACTCCAGCGAGAAGTTCAAGATCCCAGCGTACTCGGAGAAGACCAGACTCCTTTAAAAGCTATGTAATGTGAAAGTGACTTGTCATTGGAGAAATAACAGTAATAGCATTATTGAAAAGTGCTGCTCCGGGGTTTACTATAGTGCTGACAGATGAGCTTATGAAACTCTTGAACTGTTGATAATTGAAAAGAGACCAGAGACACTGATTTTGATTAATTTAATTTTGTTTCCAGATTCAAACTGAACATTTCTGTTCAAATTAAAGCTGTTTCTGAGCAGAGAGAAGAGACAGCTTAAAGACTCTGAAGTGAGACATCCAAAAGTATGGAGATTCGTTTAACTTCCAACATATTGATTATACAAAGAAAATTCAGGAATTATCATTAATCGAATAATAGTAGTGATCTTTTGTTTTGTAGGGAGACAACTCTAAATAAAGTCATTCTCTTGAAATGCTATGCAGCTGTCGTGCTGTGGTTCCACTACACTAAATCAGCATCACATGCTCCCTGCGCGAGAACCGTACGTAAACAAGTGAAGAAAGACAGGGACATGTGACAGCTGTTATTGGATGAAATCGTGTAAGATGTTTGTTTTTTAAAAGCACATCCAACCAGTAATTACAATTGACCACAATTTTAAGTATTTAGATCTGTCATTTTTATCACCATCACTTATGCTTATTGTGTGTACAGATATTTTCCAGTAGGTGACATTTGGCGCGGAACTGGGGTTGATGTGTTCCGCTTCCTGTGCTCGCAAAACGAGCCGGACAAGTTGGCCTGATATTTTGTTTTATGGTAGTTTAAAAGCTAGAGTGTACCCATGTGTACATGGAATGGCTGTTGATAGCCTGGATATTTTAAAAAAAATATAAGGTTACTATAGAAGTCTATGGGAAAACATTTGGTGGTATGTAACCTTGTCTATGGACGAGGGTCGCATGCATGCTACAAGATGGCCGATATTACAAATGAGACAACCGTACCGGTGCGGTACGAAAGCAACTCGCAATGAAACGCAGCTTCAGACTGATTTCCACGTGCTAGAGATGTGTCTAATCTATTTCACAATGCAAGGCGCGTGTAGGTGTTTTGTGATTAAGTATCCAAGTTATACGTATTTTGACAAATAACTTCACACTTTGCCCAGCGATCAGATGAGGTCACTTGACACTCCTGCTGCGACAGGTTTGACAAGCAATCAGCAGGTTCCTCGTTATACCGCGTTTTTCCGTTTATTCCTTATATGACAACGTATGGGAGCAGAAACTGCTCTGCTTTTGCCCCTGGTGTGATTACCCGCTCCCCAGCTTCTACCTGTTTGAGTAACATAGAATTTCATCTTCAAATGTATCTGATAACATAGCGTTATTATCGTCTGTGGATATATTGCTGTAGATTGTTTCTACCTCTCTGTTTCACACTTATTCTCATTGCTGACGAGCAATAGGCGCCTAACCGTTGCTTACTGAATCGTTCTACCTTACGAGTTCTACATTAGGGTTAAAAAAATGATCAGATAATCGAATGTTGATGTGCATGTGTACTAGGTCAAAACACCCGCCTTACTGCAGCAAAGTGTTTGTGCTGCACTGTTTTGTTATTGATAAGACAGTGGTTATTCACTGCTCAATCTGTGTACGTATAACTTCATGAATTAATTATTACAAGTTGTGTCCTATTATTCACAATCACACTATGACTGTGTCCTATTTTGTAGGTATACCATTGAAGTATGACAAAGAAAGAGTCAATCTCAACAAAGTCCATATCAACACAGACCTGGTCAACAGGAAGTCGGGCACCAGACCAGCAGGGGAGGGGAGACTGAAGAAGTACGAGGGCACATGCAGTACTGACACACACGCCCCCACCACCCCCCACCCCATGGATGGTTGTCCCCAGTACTGGGAGGTAGAGAACAGGGTCTATCTGGACAAACCACTCACAGAGAACGGGTTCCTCATCCTGGAGGTTGGAGTATGTAGGGAGGAGCAGAGGGACGTGAGTCATGATATAGGTGGCCGTCCTTACTCCTACTGTATGAGCGTCGTCCACTGTACTACACATGGCGGGATATGCAGGGAGATATGGAGGGTGGGGAAGTATGTGCTGTGTCTCCTCGACACTCTCCCCAACACAGCAGGGACATCACACACACTACATTACGGTGTTGTCTATGATGACGCCAGGAAGAAGATTGTCTTCATTGATGTGAAGGAGAAGAAAGTCATGTCGACGTTAGACAATGTAGACTGTAGTGAACCACTGTGGCCGATGTTCGGGGTGTATAACCCAGGTGATGTCACAGTCAGCATGAGATTTGTAGTGGGCAGCGACATCAACATGGCGGAGGAGAAGACAGCGATGATTGTCATGGCGCTGTCGTGATGTCATAGCGTGAAAAATATTTCCATAGTGATGATGAACAAACTTAGATAAGTGGGTATATACATTGTACTTTACAAAATGAAAGACATGTGCAGCAAACGCCCACCAATCACTCAACAATTACATGTATGACAGGCGACTTTCAGTATGGGATGACGGCGCGAGAGAGATCCTCGTATATACAGTAACCATGCATTATATTGACGGGCAGAAATGTCCAAATGGCCCAATGTTGTCAAAATGTGGCTGATGGACATTGGGCATCAGGATGCCAGCTGTCATAATCTATACTGGTACATTTACACATTTCACATGATGCAAGAACCCGACATTGTTTTATCTTGAAGGATGTAGAATTGTTGCACGTCACACATTTTATGTGTTTTTATACGAATAGCAACGCGACAGTGTCTCCGTAACCCACAAAAACTAGCAATATTTAAAGGATACGTACACACATCTACCAACATGGCTGCTTCATTTATACACAACTCACACTGTTTATTATCAATATTATTATGAATCGCATTGTAGTTATTTTAAATTGCAGCTGAAACATATATTACGTCAATTAGATAAATACAGTTATTCAGAATTCTAATTACAGTGTATTGATCACATTTATACGTTTTCCCTTGTGGACCTGTCCGGAACAACCACCTGGAGGCTGCATCACAGATAAGTTTCAAAACAAATTGTTCATTTTGTTATTGGAGTTGACACTCGGAATTTCCTAATTCCTTGTGAAGTCCTTTGGCATGCTGACTTGTACATGGACTAAAAATGTCTGAGAGGTTCCACGAACTGTGGTCATGATTACCTTCCATAAGAACTGCATTCTGTCAAGTGACGGTTCTGCTGCACCATGTATATTTTACATGATATTTAAGATGTTTAAACTGACTTTAAATACCCGTCCTCATACATTTTCAACGTCAAGGATGTGGTACAACTCCATGTATGTTGAATATATGTTGTATTCTGTCGAACCGCCCTCACACACTTATGATAACCTATCTGACTGTGTGTAAAGCACTGTTACTGACACCTTAATATGTTTACTATTTGATATGAGGCGGTGGGGTAGCCTTGTGGTAAAAGCGTTCACTCGTGAGGATGAAGGCCTGGGTTCGATTCCATACAAGACTACACTGTGTGAAGTCAGGTTCTGGTGTCCTCCGCTTTGGTATTGCTGGAATATTGCAAAAAGTTTTGTAAAACTAAACTTCACTCACTATATAGTAGTACAGTCTCCGGGGCACATGCCCACGCATTCACACGCACACACACACACCACATAACCTGACACACATAAATAAAAGTACATTTGACAGTGCGAACATCTTAAATTCAACCACGCCCCATGAATTCTTAATTTTAAAATGCTCTCCCTCAATATAGTCAGTATGCTGTGTCTGACTGGCTGATAAGCTGCAGGATGCATGGTACTTATGTACTGTAAGTCCCTTCAGTTGTTGGCAACCCATAGCCTGGTTTTATATTGTATTGTCTTCTTGAAAAATATCATTTTATGATAACATACTAGTTTTACTTTAATATCTGTAATACACTGGTAGTTTTACTGTTCGTGGTCAAGAGGCTTTTAATTTCTACTTTTATTGTTCTATAATGGAATAATAAATTGTTTTCGTCACGATATGGCAGCAATATTACCGATGTGACGATAAATTAACTCACTCACTCACTCACTCACTGCATGGTACCTCAGTGTGCTGGCAATACTCTCAATCTCTTGATAATCATCACCCACACTCATTGTTTCTTGGGCTCAAATTATATGTCTGACAACTGTCTCTTTGAAGTATCTATCAGAGACTGTTTGACCTACTCATACAACTGTAAATTGCCCTTCTTAGTGGGCCCGTGAAGATCCGAGTTAGAATTGGTCTTCAGCAAACCATGCTTATCGTAGGAGCAACTAATGGGATCGGGTTGTCAGGCTCGCTGACTTGGTTGACACATGTCATCGTATCCCGATTTCGTCGATCTATGCTCATGAGGTTGATCACTGGTTTTTCCAGTTCAGGGTCGATTATTTACAGACCGCCATCATATAGCTAAGTGCGTCGTTAAACAACATCAACCATGATCCCGGCCTTTGTTCCCGTGTTGCGGTATTGCCATTTAACAATACTAGTAGGTACATGTATGTTAAAGAGTTCGGTTTTAGTACCAGCCCTAACTTTTTACAATACATGTAACTACCAGTATTTTAGGTTTTAGTACCAGTCCCATCATGACTTAGATGTACTGACCAAAAAAGATAGGTTAAAAGAACGAGGGATCATGCGGATTCCGTTTACCGGATCGAGTGGGCTTGCCTATGTTTAATCACTCCATGGCATCAAGTCCCACAAAACCGACGTCATGCGAGTCCGGACTAGACATTAGCAGCCTCACACTTGCATACACATCACACTATAATATTGCAATAATGATTACGTGATACACAGATGAAGTCTGTAAAAAATGCAGAATTTGCATCCAGCAAATCAAAACAGAAAATACATATCCATGAAACGCTTTTGCCCACACGAAAACTTCAGTCACGTAATGAGGTTAAATGTTTCCCACTACCATAATTTGATGTTTAAGAACATCACACTTTTGTTGTATTTGCACCAGTTTCCTTGATCAGATGCGACGCATATCTGCATAATGTTATCTAGCCTAGCTGCAGAAAAAGTAAAAACAGCTGAAAATGCTGACCAGATTTTGCAGTTTTTTTATGCTTGATGCTAACAGAGGATACTCACAATATATTTAGTTGTCTGAAATGCGCTTGTACTTTGTTATTATGTATTATGTGATTAAACCATTTAACAAATTTGATATCACTGGATGTTATTAAAAATATTTATGAATCATTCCACGTTTGTTCTTCAGTTGAGTGATCAACGTCCTAGACCTGCATTACTTCACTAGGCCCTGCCAAGCTGGCACACTGTGATATAAGGCTGATATACTGGAGTGGTGTTTAGAAAGGTTCATAAGCTCGTATATTATGGCCTGTCCATAAAGCAGGTTAGCTTACGTAATACCTTTAAACAATGAACCAACATATCAATACCAATGACGAAAGGCCGTCTCATTCTTGTCACTCCATATAGCCACTATATCGGATAAAACGATAGCCAACGTGTAACAAATGACCAGAACATCATATTAGGACGAAGGAATCAATCGGATATATTATATAGTGCACATGACAGAAGAAAAAGAAACAACACAGACGCATTAATTCCTTTTCAGACACAAAACCGTCGGACCTAAGAGACAAGTTAAACAGTTAGAATAGGACGCAACGAGTGAGTGAGTGAGTGAATTTAGCTTTACGCCGCACTCAGCAATATCCCAGCTATATGGCGGCGGTCTGTAAATAATCGAGTCTGGACCAGACAAACCAGTAATCAACAGCATGACCATCGACCTGCGCAATTGGGAACCGATGACATGTGTCAACCAAGTCAGCGAAACTGACCACCCGATCCCGTTAGTCGCCTCTTACGACAAGCATAGTCGCCTTTTATGGCAAGCACATGGGTTGCTGAAGACCTATTCTACCCCGGATCTTCATGGGTCAGGACGCAACGAATGTGACAAAACGAGATAGAACAAACAGTGCAGGGACAGACATCCAATGCGTTCAATAAACCCCAAGGACAGTGCACTTATTAAATAACAGGCAACAGATATTTTCACATACACATCAGCAGGACACACTGATATTTACGCAAGGAACTTCGTTAATAACTCACGATTGAATTAGCCCCGATCTTAAACCTTTTGAGCATATCTGAGACATGGTTGGTCGTCTTTGCAACAAAGGGATCCTCCTGCACAGAACCTGGCCCAATTGGAAGCTATTTTACACGAGGAATGGCATAGACTGGCCCTTCAGAGGATCAGGGGGCTGAGGAGGAGAGCACTGGCTGTCGTATGGAGGTTACACTCGGTATTGACCTCGAATCGTGTAAGAGACGCAAAATGACATTTTGAATGTTCACAATCACCAACAAATTCAACATTAAACATTCCAGGGCCATACCTGTACAGATTGTTTTGCATGAAAATCAGTGGGGGGGTTATTAAATAAAATCAACTTGGATTTCAATCATTTTGTCAAAGGATCGTATGGGTCAGAAAAAACAATGTTTTTCCGTCGTTGTCACCACGATAGGTTTTATGTTCGTGTTGAAAACCCATCATTGCAAAAATACATGGGTTGCTTAATTAAGTTATTTGTGTATATGAGCAGCAAGTATCAACAGCCTGCAGAAACAAATCGACGGGGTTTTTTGCCTGCTACAGTTCACATGACCTTCAGGGTCCATATCCCACTACTTGCTTTTCTCTCCCGTAAACTTTCTTAATAGGGAAAGGAAAAATCTAATCTTATATGAAAGACCCAATTACTCTGCATTGGTGTTGAGCACATCCAACATGCTATTACGCAGGAAAAGGGAAATCAATAAAGGAAGTTATTTAGGCAGGTTAAAGATTTTCAAATTTCATAAGATTTGAGACCGGGCGACCAGCCGGGAACCTCGTTAAATGGCTATGATGCGTTGTTGAAGCTTTGTCTATTCTACCTATCTGTAAAGTTCCTGTAGATAATGCATTATTCATATTATCATTAGCAGTATTGGGAATTTCTGTGGCAAATCTATTATGCACACTAACAACGAGGACAATTTTATATTATATTATGGTTTGGATATGAAACGGATATATCATCAGTGCAACGACCTCGCAATATTCATCTTTTATCTGACATAAGTGCCATGGAGAGTGAGTGAGTTAAGATTAAACGTCACATCGGCATTATCTCAGTCATATCGTGACGAGAACAATGTAATTCATATAAAAAAAAAAATTGAGATAACAAAAACCTGTCATCGAAGGACAGTAAAACTACAAGAATATCACAGCCCTTAATTTAAAATTAGTACGCTATCATAAAAATATATCACTATAGACGACAATACAACATA